AGGAAATATAGGTGGGACAACTAGGCAGGAAATAGAGACAGGGTGACAACAGCAGGAGAATTCTGGGAAGAAGAAAGCTTGGTCCACAGTCCTGACCCAGCCACAGAAGAAGCAAGATGTGACTGCCTCACTAAATAATGTACCGAGCCACGTGGCTAACATAGACAAGAATAATGGGCTAATATAAGTTATAAGAGTTAATAAGAAACCTGAGCTAATGGGCCAATCAGTTTGTAACTAATGTAGATCTCTGTGTGGTTTCTTTGGGACTTAACGACTACAGGAATCAGGCAGGACAGAAACCCAGTCAACAGGATATGCTAATATAGAATTCTGAGAAAGGTGGCCATTGCAGGAAGAACACAAATATTGCTTCATTTGGAGTTCTGCTTCAACCTGAGGGTCCATATTCATTTGTAGCACAGAATAAAGGGGGAATCACTAGAGGTCTCTGTGTTTCTTCAGAAAGACATTCAGTGTATGACAGTATATTTTTATTCAAATAAAGCAAAATCGGTGGTTCTCAACCTGTGGGTCATGACCCCTTTTGGGGGTCTCACTTCAGATATTTACATTAAGATTCATAACAGTGACAAAATTAGTTATTAAGCAGCAATGAAATAATTTTATGTTTGGGGGTCACCATACCATGAGGATCTGTATTAAGGGGTCACAGCATTAGGAAGGATGGAAACAGTGAAATAAAGCACAGTACAACTGTGAGCTAGCATCAATGTACAAACATTTCCTCACGCTACACTGGTCCCCTAAGTCAGAGGCAAACTTACCCACAAGATAGAAAGAGGTTTTTTTTTTTTTTTTTTTGGAAAACCTCTTAGGCTACTCGTTCCAAAGCTATTAGTGGCAGAAAAAATCAGAAAAAATAGTCTTCCATTTGTTAAGTTTTTTTTTTTTTTAAACTGCACTTTAATTTCCATCTGTGGGAGAAGGATACCTATTTTGTTGAGACTCAGATGATTAGAATGAATGGGAGATGTCATAAATCCCGATGAAATCAGCTTTATTTATTCATAAAGATACATAGCACTTGGGGGACATTATTTTTCCCCTGCCCAAAAGGTGTATTTGAAAGTTAGGCAGTAAATCCCTAATATAAACCTGCTTTGAAGTGCAGGTTGTAATATACACTTTAGTTGCTAGGGGGAGCCATGTATCCACTTAATTTGTTAACTTGCTCCAAGCCTTGCAGGAGTTGAAGTCCCATTCATTTCAGTTGTTAAACGTGTCTTCTACAATGCATGATGTTTTTGAACAGAACAAGGTATTTCAAATCACAAAGTGATAAATTTCAAGGCAAATTCTGACCTTAGCAAAAATATGTCCCATATTTCTGCACCATTTCCCCTACCTATATAGTTGTAGTATTTCCACTGCATTCGGTTACCATTTAATTCAAATAGGACAATAAATAATATTAGATGGCAGGTGAACTGAAATTACACTCGTGGTTAATTTACACATACTTTGTATCCAAAGCACACTTAAGTACAAGACAAGAAAAAGTACTATTGTCTAGCAAATTTGGAGTGTATAATCTCTCCCAGTTCTATATAAGGCTGGTAATACTGGGATAAAGCAAGCAATCACTCTGCATCCATCATGTTTGTAATACCACTGGTTAGTAGGGCTCCTTTTAGAATTTTCCAGCAAGTAGGAAAACTGAATTAGTAGGAGGGTAAAATGATATAAGGGAAGAAGAGAAAGAACTAATAATTTTCTAGCAGTTATTACCTACCTAGGCATATATGTGTGTGTGCATATGTATATATGTATATATGTATGTGTATATACACATATAACTATATATTTATACATATACATACATACACACACATATATGAAATCACTTTGATTCTCAACTAATACTTCCAGTACTCCAGTACTTTTTAGATAAGAAAACAGGCTCAGAAGAAAAGTGTGACACACTTGAGTGTTTCAGATCTAGCATAGGCTCTAGGATCCCATAAGCAAACAAAACCAAACATACAAACAAAAGCCTCTGGAGGGGTTGTGTTCACCACCTCACACTAGTGCTCAGTTGCTGTGTAGGATAGTAAGGGCACCCATCTGATAGTACACAGTACAGGGATGCTTTGCGCATGCCTGTGAGAGTCCTGTGTGCCAGAAGCAGAGGTGACAATGAATGGCACAGGGTTGTGACTGTGCAAACTCCACCCCAGATCCTCCTGTACCTTTTGGGCCTTTCACACAGTAAAGAATACTCCAGTTCCTTTGTATTTTTTCCTGGTCACTTGTATTGACAGATTTGACTTCTGACCGTAAAGGTATAGAGGACACATCCAGTTCTGGAGTACTATAGTGCCAGCTAACAGACACTCCCAGCATCCTCGGATTTAATTGCCACCTGATGGGTTTAAGTCTTCTTAGATAAAGTTCTAAATCATGGTACAGTGTTTCATACCCAGAAGTGATAGACAGCAGACTGTTGGGACCAGCATGAGTTTGTTTGTTTTATTCAGTTCAGTAATGGATTTCCTAAGATGCTGCTTATGAGTGCTGGACTCAAAAAGTAGCCTCTAACTATCTTTTACTTAAAGCATTCAAATTTAGTGACCATGCAATATCTAAATTGTAAATATTCAATGACACAGTGGTTCATAAAATGTAATCAGAATCCCCGTCATCTGAATTCTTTGCAGGGATGTAGAAATTAAATAATTCCAACATTTCAAGATCCAATGCCATTTAAAGGCAATATTTCCTTTATTTAATTCTGACATTAATTAAATACTATAGAGAGCTCTACAGAAAACCAAAACCTCACATTTTTTTTTCTAAATCATCAGACAGAACTGTTGAGATCACATATAAGATAATAGGGATTTTCCTACTTGCATTATGCTAATACACCATCATCATAATGCACGGTTACAGCTTAGTTTATTCACCAGTAGTCCTATGACTAACATTAATTTATTCCATATTTCCCAGTGCTAGACATTCCCACATTCAATAAATTTCATGGAAATAAGCATTATTTTTGCAAGATGATCTTTGCTAATAAAATTTCTTTTTCAATTTGAAGTTAGTACAGATAAACCTTTCCCCAACACTAGGTGACTTTGTGTAATGTTTGTGACTGTTTTCCATGTCCCCTATTTAGGTTTTTTTATATTTAGAAATACATAATGGACTGACCTCAAGGTACACTAACATGAACGACAGATACTGTAGGCCAAGTCTCCTGCATGGCCCATAGGAATCTCTGCTGTGAAGGAGCTTGGTGTTTGGTAGGAAGTCAGCTTTGGCTGCTGAGAAACTTATTCTCTTTGGCTCATTCTTCTGTTTCCATATTATTTAAGCATAAGCTCACAACCAGACAAATAACCATAAGCCACACATCACCAGACAATTGGGCTACAGAGAGTTTCCTGGCTGTGTGTTGGAAGGGACTGATCTGCATATCACAGTCATCAATAGTTTTATAAAGTTGGAGAGACAGTAGAGAAGAGGTCCTTCCCTCACACTGTGACTCAGAGGCAAGTGCCCCTGCCCCACATATCCTGTAAACCTTAAAGTAGTTAAGATGGCTCCATTTACTTACTCCACTTACAAAGGCCTTTAGTGGTTTAAATTAAGACACAAGGAACCCCAAATGATACTTGAGATGCACCTGAGAGAGATAAGTGTTTGGAGATATTCATGTATTCATAAAGTAAGCACTGTGCATACTTTAGTCAGACAAAAATACTAAGAAGCATAATGTTTCTCATTATAAAAAGCAATTATTATGCTTAGGTATGACTTTAAAAGATCCTGACATTTAACATATTTGATGAATGTGCAATGTGCTGATCAGAGCTGGGTAGCATCCTAGAGGGTCTCATCATTAGGTTTATAATGTCCCGTTTCGTCAGAGTACCACGAATGCAAATACAAGAGCTGGGAAGCAGAACATCTACTCCAAAATGGCACTGTCCTGCTTAATACCCACAATACCTCATGGCAAAAATAACTAAACCTCACCAATTAAGTTAAGGGATTGGTTTTCTATTGACTGAATTACAAAATGATATTTATGTGTAGTGATTGTCCTTGTCCCCAACTCACATTCACGGCCATTCACCCAAAGGAACATCAAAACGACATATTATTCTGTAAAGGAATAAATGGTATTTTAGCTTATGCCTTTATTTCTTATCTCTTTTCTCCAAGTGATAATGAAGATCTCATTTGCCATGCATAGACACTTACATTCCCTTTTCTGAGAACGTTTCTGATATCGTTGGTTAAAGAAATGCCATTTCTTTAAAAGGTTGTCCTATTAATCTACAGCTGTTGGTAAATATCTAAGTTATCCAGTTAGTTAATTTGTTTCTAGGGCCTAAGAATGAAGAAAGACTAGCTGCCACATTCAATCCAAAGGAGTCAATAGATATATGAATATTTATAAGAACATCGATATTGACATGGTCTTACAGTCATGCTTGAAGCTAAATAAAAATCTGAGTAAATTACCACAAATATCACAGTATAGTAGGATAAGAGCTAAAATATATGTACAGATTCATTGACAACATCTGTGCAAATATTGTGGACAAAACATTTAAAAGAAATTTACACAAAAAGTAGATAAATTTATCAAATATTGATAAATTTTCAAAGACAGTATAAAAGTACACAGAACATGGAAAGGAGAACGAATTTTTTTTTAAAGTAGCCACTATGCCCATACATAGAGTGCACATTAACTACATTTATAATTCAGAATGATGGAAATCAGAGACAAAAACGATTTGGTAACAAACAGCAAAGAAAGTTTCACCAATCACAAAGAAGAAAGACATTCTCTTGGGAGATGAAAACACAGATGCCAAGCCCCTCCACTCCCCATCCACACAGAGAGAAATCAAAGCAAACTCAAACGTTGTCTACAGCAACACAGGACAGACAGGTGGGAGGCATTTGGTATGTTGCATCACAGGAAGTCAATCACGATTGGCTAACGATGATGGTACCTGGCTCTGTTGTAGGTCACTGGCTTGTCTGAGAGGAGTCACTGAAGGCGGAGGAACTCCTGATGTAGATGCAGACCGGCCTAGCTTGCAGCTTACTTTAGGTTCTGTGAACAAGGAGGAGACAGAACATGAGCTGAGAACCATTTGAGTTGGTGGGTTGGAGCTCTTCCTCCACTCTTGGTTTGCTGCATGTGGGCATAAACAAAATGCTCCTGATATTGTTTAATAATTGTGCCAGAGATAAAGATTTTCATAACTACTTGTTCTCAAAAGCGCTTTATCCAAAGCCGAGTTCCTGCGGAGGAGAGACAGAATCCCTTCAAGCACAGGCCTTGTTTCCCTGCACAATTAACTACAATTAGTTTCCATGGAAGGAAACCACCCCATTCAGCAGTAAAACAAGTGACTCTTTTTCAGTTCATCTTTAGTTTTGGTTCTTAGGAATCCATGACCCCAAAATGTCTTACCTACCCTCTCCTTTTTGATTTCTCTTTCTTCCTCCCTCCCTTCTTTTGATTCTTCCTCCCTCCTCTGATCCCCTTTTCTTTTCCCCTCCACCTCTTCCTCCCTCCTTTCCATTCTTTCTTATTTCTATGACTATGTTTAACATACTTTTTTTTTTTTTTTTTTTTTTTTTTTTTTTGGTTTTTCGAGACAGGGTTTCTCTGTGGTTTTGGAGCCTGTCCTGGAACTAGCTCTTGTAGACCAGGCTGGTCTCGAACTCACAGAGATCCGCCTGCCTCTGCCTCCCGAGTGCTGGGATTAAAGGCGTGCGCCACCACCGCCCGGCTGTTTAACATACTTTTAATATAACATTGTTTTCACCTTCTCTCCATTTTCTTTCTATAGGCTGACTGATAGATTTTAGTGTGTGTGCTCACACGTGCACTCGTGCGCACGCATGCATGTTTGGAACACACACATGGCATGGCATGTATGTGAGTGGAAGACAGAGAAGACACCTTATAGGAATCAGTTATCAGTTTCTACGTTTGACAGCAATTTTCTTTCCCACTAGGAAACCTTACAGGCCCTCCATTCATTTTGAGTTTTATAATTATCATCTGAATCATTTGGGTAATCATTTTATAACTACCATGTAAAATGAACAAGACTGAGCACAGTGACTACAATCTTTCTCTTGCCCTGAACAGGTTTCTATTCTCTTTCGAGAAATGCAGACCCTACACAGCAATCAGGCATTTGATTTGTGACAGCAGCTGTGATGAGTCTCCCGAATGCCTACTATATGCACAGCTCCCAAATGGTGCAAAGGATGTGTGGTGAAGACATGGAGTATCCATACTCTGAGGAACCGAGGAATTTTTTTTTTTTTTTTTGGTTTTTCGAGACAGGGTTTCTCTGTGGCTTTGGAGCCTGTCCTGGAACTAGCTCTTGTAGACCAGGCTGGTCTCGAACTCACAGAGATCCACCTGCCTCTGCCTCCCGAGTGCTGGGATTAAAGGTGTGCACCACCACCGCCCGGCCAGAATTTCATTCTTTTTCACAGGAGGCAAATGCTGCATCTATACTCATTTGGTGGTAGTTTGGAAAGGAATTAGAAAGGAGACACAGCACACTGCCATTCACTGGATTTATGCCTTCTCCTTGGAACCTGGGAAAGAGAAGACCTGGTGATGCTGTATAATAGGTGGCACAGTCTAGTGTGTGAAGGACTCGGGAGCTATGGAAGCGAGGCAGAAATTCCATTTTTCTAGGATGCACTTCTTTCATTTACTATATTACTATACATCCCATGTAAATAGTAATAAGTGAAATATGCTATTTCTTAAGATATAGATCCTGTAGAGTAGAGCTAACAAGGAAGAAAAACAATATAGGACAGCAATTACTTGTAAAGTTTATAGAAAATGCTGGTACCTTAGTTTCTGTTGCTGTGATAGAATACTCAGATGAGAACAATTTACGAGGGAATAGAATTTACTCTGCTCTCAGTTAAATGGAGATGGAGGAGAAGCCACTGTCTAGAAGGCTTGAGGTAGTTCACCACATGGTGTTCAGAGTCAAGAAGTAGAGCGTGATGAATACCTGCATTCAACTCACTTTCTCCTTCATGGACAGCCCAGTACGCCATCCCAGGCACAAGTCCTACCCACGGCAAATGAATCTTCCCAACTCAATTATCCCAGGGGAGAGAATTACCCAGTAATATGCCCAGAGATTATCTCCAGGTGAATCCAGATCTCATTATGTTGAAAATTAGGAATAACCATCACACCTGTAATGTGTGTCCCTGGTGGACACTGGCTTTTATTATTCCTGAACTCACAGATGCCCATACATGTACTGCATACACTCATGCTTGCATATAGGTGTGCAGTGAACCTTACCTCTATTTCCCTTCTATGTTTAGTGAAACTGACTACATTCCTCTCTCTTCTTTCCATCTACTGCCTACATACCCTCCTCTTTCTCCATCCTGTCCTGATTGTTCTCTCTTTGTCATTCTATTCTGCACAGGGCAGCATTTCTTGCCTTCTGGTGTTTTCGCCTTCAGTCATATACAAGATCTGAAGGTCTGTTCTCTCCACATGCTTTTGTTTGGTCCTGGGGCTCAGTGCCTCTGCACAGCAGGTCATTCTCATGCTTCTGAAAGAAAAGCCCAGTTCTCTCAAGTCTTACACTTACCTCCTGTTCCCCTCCAGCCCTGGTTTCCCAATGCGTAGCAAGATTACTGCTTCCATTCTCCTGGAAAAATTGTGGACATTTTCAGCTCCTTGCCCCCACTCCACTTTATGTACATGAATAGTCTGGTTAGAACTTCAATTTTACTTTTCAAAATCTCTTGTTTGTCTTATTATTACCTCTGAGATCTTCTTACTGGCTCCTATAATATATATGCTCAAAACAACCTTGGAATTCATGCCAGACGGAATTTCCTAGATTGTTGTTGGCTTACCTCCCTATTTAAATATTTGCAATGATCCCATATTAATGTCCACAAAAATTTGAGCATTTCTAGTTGGAATGGACTATAAAGTAGATATTTAAAATTATTATATATTTTTCTATCACAGAAGATACTCAGACTCATCAATGTAAAGTCAGCACATCTTCTAAAACCAATCAAATAACACAGACTATGTTGTAAGACCTGGATCTGAGGTCTACATCTATCCCACATTAATGTGATAATTCTCACTCAAGGGGCTATGACCCTCTAGGACTCTTATCAGAAAACTTTAGCTATATGTGTGTGATTTGAATTGAGGGCATTTGAGTGAGTATATATTATAAGAGAACATAGATAAAATGTCACTGTCACTTACACTCTAACCTAATTTGCCGGGAAGCAGAAATCCTTGTGGAACTACTATGGTAATATCAGTTTTTATCACATGAAATCACAGATAAAGCCTCCATCAGATTCCTGGTCAATAAGGTCTCTACAAGAAATCAGTGAATCTCTATTTTCCATTACTGGCTTAGGATATCTGATGAGACATTTCAATATATTTTTCTTATGACAAGATCTTGCATATTATTTGTTGACTTCAAGGTTCCTTTCAAGATTATATTGATGATATTATCTGATAAAAAGCAACTGTCTGAACTTTTATACTGTCTAATGTAACCTTGGATTAATTTCCATTGCTAAGGTCCAGCCTTGACTTAATTACTATCTTCTCAATATAACCATTGATCTCTCTAATTTGCAGAGCACATACCAGTACCATCCAAACAAATGCCAGAATTCATTGTGAACAGGGAAGCCTTGCTTTGCCCCTGGAAGTCAATCCAGATTATGCTAGGGGTGTTTAGCCCACTTATACATGTAAACCATCTGCTACCCATTGCTCATAGCAATTTATACTACTTGCAAGACACCCTATGGGCCAACTCTGAAGTCGGGTCACTCAACAGACAAATGTTTGATACAAGTTTACATCATGTGGGTTATGACTCTATCTGCAGATTTAGACTGAGATTATTCCCATAAATCATTATGTCTGCAAGTATACAGGTACACACACACACACACACTATTCCTCTCTTACACACACCAACATATACACACATATGAAGCAACACTCATGCTTTGTTAATGGTGTGAGTTTTATCCCTCATTTTGACTCCAATTGATGGCCTACAACTCCAGTGCACTTGGAGTTTGTTGTGGTGTTTATGAGAGAAGATAGATGCCCCAAAGCTTATATTTCTGAGATTTCTAGGAAAAGTGAATCATACACCCTGAAAAACCTAGATAATTTCAGTTGTAACTTACCCTCATAGAGATTGTCTAGGCTTATGACATCAAAATAAAATTGTTCAAAATTCTAATAGCCAAAACCAAAAGATTCTCTCAGGCTTAAACAATATATACCCAAGTTTTCTTTCCAATTTGAGTTTTAGGTTTTGGGGGCTCATTTGGGCTTTGGAAGCTCCAAAAAACAATAAACCAAGCCTGAGAAGAAACATAAGATAATGCTGTTCTGCTTCAAGAACGTTCATTCGGTCAAGAGGTTAATAGTGAGTAGAGGACAACTAGCCTTTTCATTACCAAGAAAAACGAGCTTTTCCTTTGAAAAGTCTACCAATGATGCTCTCCAAGAGAAGCAGATGTTGCTTGTGAAATGTCAGTGAAGACCAAGTATGATGAGGAGAAGAACAAGAGTGATATAGGTGTTTCAAAAATATACAGAGAAAAAAGCAGGGACTTCACAAGAGGAAGAAAAGGAAGGAGGTTACAGGTCATAACCACAAGAAGTTTCCAGGTCAATAGTAACCCATTTTCCCACTTCAGTTAAGTTCTCCGTGAATTAAAGAACTTGTTAGTTCTTTTTAATTTTTATGTTTCAAACAAACAAAAATCCAACAGTCATTTCTCATCTTCTCCTTATAAGGGGAAATGGATTTCTGCTCTTGACTGTGTCCCTAATCACTGACATAGGGGAAGCTCTAAGAGGAGGCAGCTGTTCTGTTGTGGAATGGTGGTCCTTGTTTTCAAGAAGACCAATGACTACCTGCTCCATCTTAAGAGATAAGTACATTTTATCCAAAATGAATAAATGAATGAATAAATAGATAATAAAAGATCTCACTTTCATCTAGCATCAAAGAAGGGAAACAGTCAAATGTGGGC